GTAAGAACTGTAGCAAGAAATTGTGATAGATGAGGGTATGGCAATGCTTTTTACGGACCACTTGTTTGTCCCTGTGCTGCTGCTTATAAACAAAGAGTTAACCGAAAAGGACAACACAGCGCACCAAGAAAATGGCAATAAATCAGTGTAAGCAACACTCACACACACATACATACATGCGCACACAAATAGTAAAGTAATGCAAAGCAAAAGTAAGAGAGAATGGAAGGGTTTCGATTGTTGTATGTTTGTTGGACTTTCCATGAAATTTCCCAATGGGGTGATTATTTAAAATTGTGCAACGCATAAATAGCATACCAAACGGAGACAGTGGCGAAGCAGCTGTATAATAAAATCATTTTTGTTGTGTGTGTGCGTAATTGTTGCCAACTTTTTGTTATCTAAGTTTCGTAAAAAAAAAAAAAAACGAAAGCCACTCGAAGCCTGCAGACGATACTCAGCTGGTATCGATGCGTGTCTGGCTACCAAAGAGAACGAGATATGAATGGCACTCCCGTAACATATGCAGCCAATTTGTAAAGGAATTAGTGCTGTGACGTCAGCAATAAATTTGCATGCGTCAGTGTTGCGGAATATCCATGTTGTTAATCGATATTCTGTATCGCAGTATTGCGCATCTCTATGAATAAAAAGGCGCGCTCGCAACGAACATCTCTGATTGGATTACGTTAAGGCAAAAAAGAAGCTGCTGCTAAACTAATATAAAAAAAAACAATGCCAACCAATATGCAGAACGAACAGAACGCTGCAGAGACAGACGTGTCAACCGATGCAAACGATACGGTTAACCTGATCAAGCTCGTCGCCGACATGGGCTATCCGGAGAACGAGGCACGCGATGCGCTGGAGCGAGCCTCCAACAATCTGGAGCTGGCCATACAATATCTGGTAGAGGGCTCCGCCAATTCCGATGAGGAGCAGCTCTCCGATGCAGCGCTACGTCGTCGCACACGTCGCCGCCACAAGCAGCTGCGCAACTGCCTCATGGACAATCCGGCCATAACCGATTACGCTGTGGCGGCATTGATGAAACAGCCGCCACGGGCTGTCGAAGCGTTGCGTGACATTGTCGCCAATCATAGTGTGCTCTTTCTGGAGTCAATGCTTGAATCGTCCTCCGACGAGGAGCAGCCGAAGCTAGCTGCCAAGTCAGCTGTTAATGCGCGTTGTACTCGTAAAACTGAGCATTAAACATATTTAACCGGAAGGTAAAAATCGCTGTTGTTGCTGTTTATTTTATGCTTTAGCATTGTTTTTGTTCTGGCGCCGGTCAAGCCACCCTTTTGTGCGTGTTATTTATTTATTTTTATTTTCTATTTTATTTTTTTTTTACTGTTTTTTGTTTTGTTCATTCAATTTTTGTTCTTGCGGTGTTTTGAATTTTGGGCACTGTCGAGCGCGTCAACCCTTTTGGCTTGATGATTAATGATCGTATTTTTGTTTTTTTTTTTTGTACTGATTTCAATTTAGCGCTTGGCGTTACCAATTTACCCTTACCGGAGGCGCATCCTTAACTTTGCTATGCAGCCAGGCATTTCAATGCTGCTCATACAGTTCGGCTATGCGTATGTATACATACATATACATATATATATGTAACTAGTTATGTACATTAATTGGTTTTGTAGCTCACAGGGTGTTAAAAGTTCTTATAAGAGTTTTGCACACATGACGCCAAAATGTTGTATTTCGTATAAGACTTTCATCAACATTAACATTTAGCATAATAGTATTTAGTAAAGGGTATCTTAGCGTCGGTGCCAAGCTTAACATTTCTTGCTGTTGTTGTTGTTGAAAAATCCTAATTAATTTTGACTTGCAACCGTTTGCACTGTCAACCGCAGCCACGACGCCGGCGCTGGCAACGCTGCTGCTGCCGCTGTCAGCGCTTATCGGCCATTTGATCGGCGTTGCGGCGTACCGCGAAATGCGACAGCGACGGCGACGGCGACAACCCTTGACGCGCGTAGGCGGCGCCCTATCATTTATCATGGGTTGCAAATGCGCTGCCGAGCTGCTTAAAAGTGGCCGTAACTGAGCTCAAGCAGTGGCAATTTTAAAGTGCATTGTGCGGCCGCGTTCGCATTTCACAGTCACAGCTAATAAATTATGTATTGAAATTGGATATCCGCCAGTGGCTGCTGCTGCTGCTGCTGCTGCTGTTTGACGCACAATGCAACGCAATTAGACGCGTTGAAAAGGGAACGCACGCGCGCGCGCGCGCTTGCGCTCGCTCTTATACTTCTCTTATGGGTCCCATGCACGTAACAACAATGCAAATGCTCAGGCATTTAAATTTGCCCAAAATATATGTATGTCTGATGATAAAGTGCACTCTGCTGCACGCCGATCGCTCTACCTTTTTGGTGGTACGCTCGTCGTTTACATGTGATTAACAAGAGGCAATCAATATGTTGACAACAAGCAGCTATTATAATTGCAATAATAACCGCAAACGCTGCTGCGAACGGTGTGCGAAAACGCGCCAAAAACAAAAATTAAAAAGAGTCTCTCAAGTACGCAAACAACCACGTCAACGATGCATTTAATTGCGGTGCAATTTCGTATGTGCCTATACATAAAGACATAAAGACATACACATGTAAATACATACGTTCATATATGCAAATTAATTGGCAAGTAACAAGGCGCTGCTTAAGGTGCAGCCGGCTGTGTCTGAGCCTCGCAACTTTACCAACACTGTTGGCCATTTTGAGTTTTTTTTTTTTTTAACATAGGTAGCCAAATATTTTAAAATTCATTTAGCATAACTACAAATATGTGCATAGACAGTTATGCATGTATTGGTGTGCTTAAGCAGACTGTTATTAGTGTTAAGATCGTCGCTGGTTTTTCTGTTAAGTTCCGTTCCCGTTCGTTTATTTAACATACCGGTTTAATTAAAAACAAATGCATATCATTTCTGTCAAAGTAAAGTGCAGAAAACTGTAATCGAAATTGTCCATTATCATAACCAATTAGACTTGTTGCCAATCGAACACGAAAATCTTGGCAATGCGCTGTGAACACGCCAGCGAGACACCATGTTAACGTCTCGAGCAATTCAAGTGCTAAATTTACATATTTCTGTAAAGCGTTCGTTTCGATTTTTATTTGCACAAACGCTTAATTGTGTATAAGGGGGAAGGCGAATCGCATGCATGTCCTGGCCAGCAGCTGCTGAGGGCTGCCAATTAATAGATGAAAATGGATTTGTGTAAGAAATATGCGTTGCCATTTGCATGCGCAGCAACAACAAAAACAACAACAAGAACAGAAGCAGCAGCGGCGGCAACAACAATGTTTGCCACTGAAAAGCCCCGACCAGAGACAATTAGGCAATTATTTGCGCAAAGGATCAAAACCAAAACAAAAAGCAGTCTGTCTGTGCCGTCTCTCTCTCTCCCCCTCTCTCTCTCTCTTACGCACACACATACTCACTTTGCATCGCACACACACACACACACACACACACGCACTCGCGCTCTCGCTGCGCCTTGTGGGAAAGCGCATAGTGTGGCCAGATTCTAGAGCTGGGGCTTTCGTTTCTGTTCTGTTTTCTGTTCTGTTTTCTGTTCTGTTCGCGTTTGCTTTTAATTGAACATGAGCAATTAGCGTGCAATTTGTTTCGCTCGCAAAAATGCTAACGGTAATCGCTGCTAGCTCCATCCCGAGCCGCCACGGTCGCCCCGCTCGCCCCCGCCACCCCACCTCCGTCAATTCGCTTCACGTGTGCCACGTGTTTTCGGGCAGCCCAAAACGCACTTGAGTAGAATTAATTTTAAATGCTGCGCTGCACGCGGCTAAGTGATTATGCCAAGCCATAGGAACCATACCATGAAACCATATCATCAGCCCATCCCATTCCATTCCATGCCATCTCGTTCCATTCTATTCCAGCGTTTGCTCGCTCGCTCGCATGTTTAATTATAATTAAAAAGCCTTAGCTCATCTCTAAGTACCCAACTCTCTCTCTCTCTCTCTCGCTCTCTCTCGCTCACACGCACACCGTTACTCTGTCCCGTTAGCTAGCACATGCTGCAAGCATAGCCTGGTCCCGCAAACATTATAACGGTTAATTGAGTGCTTAGTGGCCGGGCTACGACTTGCAGCAGCCAGCCGCCTCAGGATCTTGAGCTCATCTGCCTTGGCCATTGTCAAATCGAGCCGTGCACTTCATAATATTAATTATTTTAATTGAAATGTTCATTATTTTACATCTAATTTAGCGCTGGTTGCGTGTGCGACCCCCGCTCAAAACCCGCCCAACCCCGAACCCATCAGATTCCAGCTTCATGTTCGGACAGGACAGGAATCCTGTGCGCAATGCTCACATGCTTTTAAGCTTTCACTTTGCGGCCGCCCGTGTACAGTGGTTCAAGTCTGATGAAAATGGCGAAAAATTATTGTTGCTTATTTTTTTTTTGGTTGGGTTTTCTTTTGTAATATATATTTAATTTATATTTTTCTGTTGAAAAAGAAAATGTATTAATTAGACAATTGACTTGCAGGTTATGTATGTATGTATGTATGGCTTTTGGTACCACTGTGCACACTGCTTACGTTTATTTTTCTATTTTGGGGTTGCTGCATTTGGCGCGGGGTTTATTATAAATTTTTAATTGGCTTTTTATGTATGAATAATGCTGCTCTTTGCCAGCATGGGCCACAGGGATGCAGTCCAGGGGGTTGCGGTGGATTCGCTGCGCCTCTGCTCTCCCTCTCTCTCTCTCTCTCTCTCTGTGTGTGTGTGTGTGTGTCTTGGGTGCGTGCGCTATGCTTATCCTAAGTAGTTTGAGCCTATTATTTATGCAGCCAATTCATTATGTGGTTGTTCATGGGCCCATGCGATTCGCTCTAGGTTTTTACATATATTTTTATTCTATTATTATTATTATTTTGTTTTAGTCTATTTTATTTTTGTTTTTTTTTTTTTTTTTTTTTTTGCAACAAATTTGTTATGGCCTGAAAAAGGGGTTGGCCGCTTGCAGCCAAATAAAGAGCAGCAGGAGCAGGATTATTATCTCCAGCGAAATGTGTCTGTCAAGTTGGTTGGTTAACCGACAAGAATCAAATCAGTCCGAGGTGCAAAATAATAAATGGCTAAATGGCAACAACAACAACAACAACAACAACAAAGGCCATAGCATTGCTTGCAACCCCGTTACAAAGGTCCACGTCAAATATAAAAAATTACATTTTTGTCAACTCATTAGAAACGTGACGATGGTAGCTGCCCGGCCATTTAGAGCTTTGAGAAGGGTTTGTCATTTAATTAAAAAACGGCATAGTCAAATGAATAAATGGATATTTGTATATAGCTAGCGCTGGCTCCACCTACAGCAGCTAGTCTGGGGCCACTTGACAGCAAGTTTAACAGTGCGCGCCTACGCACAGGTGTGCCTAACAGAACGCTGTTAACGGGCTGCATTTCTGTTGCTGCTACCCTCGTTGGCCGGCACCTGCGATAGGCGGCTGGCAGCCAAAAGCCAACCGTTTGGCGTCCAATGGCAGCGCAGCCCCAAAAGCATTAAATGCAAAAAAAAATAAAAAAAAAACGCCACAACAACAACAAAAAACCCCAACCACAACGAATCTGGAGCAGCGTTTAATATGCGCAAGAGCCAAAACAACCCTCGCAGGAGCAGCAAAAGCAGCAGCAACAACAGCAAATGCCGGTCTCAGCCAGCAGCAACAGCAGCTGATAAGCCAGTGAGAGCGAGAGAGCGCCAGAGCGCAACCACCTAACAGCCGTAACGGCAGCAGCAGCAGTAGCAGCAGCAGCAGCAGCAGCAGCGCAGCAGCAAACGCAACAACAACAGAGCTGCTGCCGCTATTCGGTTTTCATTCATGCAGCCTCGTCGCATTCGTCAAGTGAACTTCGGCGCTGGCGGTCGTGTGTGCGCGCAGTAGCAGTTAGCAGCAAAAGCAACAGTAAATAAAATTACGTTAACGCGAAACTCAAATTTGTTGTGTGCAAAGTGCGAAGCGCATTGTTTATTATAACAAAACCAAACAAATTATTTCTTTTTTTTTTGTTTCTAAGATATTTATGCAAGTGAGTGTAAGTTGTGCGTGCCACAAAATTAAAGAAAAAAGGCAAACAAAAAAAAAAAAAAAAAAAAACAACAGCAACTGAAGCAATAACAACAACAACAGCAAAAAACATCTGTGCGTGCGTGTGTGTGTGTGTGTGTGTGTACGGCCCCACCATACTTCCCACCGCATTAGCGTTTGTGTGTGGCGCAATTATTTGAAATATGCAAATTTACGAGCTAACTAATTGAGTCGAGTTCAGTTCGCAGTTCGCGTGTGTTTTGTGTTGTTGCAGGTGTCGGGCATCAGTTTGTTCTTTCTACCTCGCTCTTTTGCTCGCTAGCTATCTCTCTCTCTCTCGCTCTCTCTATCGCTGACGCTCCAGGCTCTCTGATGTGCGGACTGATCTTGCCTCGTTAGAAGCGTCTTCTTCTTGCCATCTGTATTAATTCAATCAACGGTAAATCACGCGCGCAAACGACTCTCACCCACTCATCGCACTCTCGCTCTCTCGCTCGCTCGTTCGCTCGCTCGCTCGGTCTGTGTTACTCTCCCTATCGCACTCATTGGCTCTGCACGTGTGCAAGCAGCAGCAATTTTCATGCGTTTAGTACGACTATAAAAATTCGCACTCAATTAGCTGCGAGCTGAGAGCTGCGAGCAGCAGCAACAACAATTCATAACATAAACAAAACAAAACAAAACAAAAGAAAACAACAACAACAACAACAATAATAATCGCTAGCACATTCCTGTGTGCAAATTGTACAACAAACAGCGCTAAATAAATACAAGAAACATTAAGAGAGAAAAAAGCCTTTCCACAAACCAGAACCAAGAAGAAGCAGAAGCAGAAACAGAAAAGGCAGCCGAAGAAGAAGGAGAAGCGACTGCAGCAACAATAAAAGCTATAAAAAAGAAAATAACCCCCGTCCCCCGTCGCCAGCTACGAAACCCGCTCGCAGCAAGAAAAGCAACAATTTTCTGCATATGTAAGTCGAAACTTTTGTGCTGCGATCCTTTTAATTAGTTTACTTTTAGTTTCTGCTGCTGTTGTTTATTTTTGCCATTTGTTTTAATTAACGTCGCCGTCGCCGTCGCCGTCGCTGCGACTGCATTTGGCAGGCCAGAAGAAAACGAGCGACGCGGCCGAGTGAACGGCCCAAGAACAACAAAACGCAAATCTTTTCTGTTAATTGCCTCAGTTTCAAGTTTCGCAATAACAACAATAACAGCGACATAACAGAGCAGACTTAACATAGACTGCTGCAACTGTGTGCACAGAGCGTTGTACATGTGTGTGTGTGTGCGTGAGTCTTATGCGTAAATATGAAAACGATCAAAAAAAAAAAAATATTGCTAAAAATCAAACAAAAATCTGATTAATTGGCAAATTCGAAAAACTGTTATGCAGCAGCATTTTTGTAGAATTTCATTTAAATGTTTTTGGGCACAGTAAATGCTCCACTAATGGAACGATTCCTTTGGCGAGGATCTCGCTCTTCTAACGGCCAGATTCCTTTGCTGAAGTTCTCGCAGCTCTCTACAAAAACTTCTTTTCTGTTTTCGACAAACAACTTTTGAAACGAAAATATTGATAAAAAAAAAACAATCTGCTTTTTTTAAGCCAAAATAGAGTTTGTTTTAGCTTTAGCTTTACCTACAGGCAGACCCAGTATATATATATATATATATATATATTATGTATAGATAGATTTTTCTAACGATTGCCAACTTTTAGTTGGGATATTTTGTTAGTTCTGTCCGCTCAAGCGATCTTTTACTGTATTCATTTCCGGAATACATGCATTTTGCTTGCATTGACAATTTGGCTCTGCTTTCAATACCAGACCATAAAAAAAGAGATGATCTTATTGACAGCATATCAGAAATTTGAACTTACCGAAATTAGAGTCCGATTTGTTTATCATTTGTGTTCGGTCTCGGTCTATGCTTATTTGGTTTCGTATGGCTATCAAAAAAATGCTGAAGTGGAATTTTAATAGAATAGCATAGATCGCCGTCTGCAGAAAGTCCTGATAAGAATCGGCTTGAGAAAAGACAATAGCTTAAAATCAGTTCAATTACAATTTTGTCCCAAAGATATTATCTTTCGGAAGACTGCATCGCATTCCTAGCCATAACATAACGATTAGCTACAGAGCTATGTAAACATTTCCATGTAAACTCCGTCGAGCTACTTTCATTTGAGAATTCGCCAAGAATTTCAAATATGTCATTTGACACCCAACTAACTGCGATAACATTTTGTTTATTGGAAATTAAGAATTCTCGTGCTCTGATATTTGTATACTCTGTGAAAGTGTACGCAAGGAGTATATTAGTTTTGTGCCACAATCGACGCTCTGTGCGGCTGTTGACCACGCCCATCAGGGGGAGATTTCCAAACTTTTGGAGCCACAAATGATCATTCATTGTTTGAGTCAACAAAATTGGAAAATATTCCCCATTTTGTTGTAGAGTCACAGTTTTAAGTTATTGCCTAACAGTTTAAGAGCCACTGAGCTAACATTCATAAACCGAAAGTCCTTTTTTTGTGTATTGTGCAATTATAAAAAAGATTAACATAAAATTGGCAAGAAATTTTAGAGTGTATAATATATATTATGATATGTTACATATGTTGATATGATAGATATGTTGATATGATATGTTTAATAATGTTATGTATTCCTGATCAGAATCAAAAGTCGAGTCGTTATAGCCATGTTTGTCCGCCTGTTTCTAGGCAAAATTGTCTTTTACTCCCAAAGCTATTGTCATAAAACTCGTCCTTCTGTTGCATAGTGGAAACTGTCCCGATATCATATCATATTATAGCCCATTTCCACGATTAACATTTGTACGTAATTTGTAATTTGGTCAAATGTCGCAAAGATTATCCATTAAATGGAGTCCCTACTTCGAGGCCGTATTATTTGACCTTTAGAAGGTAAGCTTTTACGGCGCTTATGTGAATCAAAGCAAAATTGATCAGCTGTTGCCTGCGAATGGAATTGCAGAATGTGATGCTTGCAAATGTAACAAATGTTGAGCAATGAGCTCTCCGCCATGCCTGTCATAGCTAAGACAAATCTTATTAGCAATGGACAACTATATCTAATAGCTTTATAGGAAGTATCGCGCGATAAAATTAGTAACTTTCTATGGCAACATTTACTGTACTATTTCAAGCTATGCTGACAATGATCATTATGCATTTGCTCTCATTGCTCTCTCATTAACATTCACATTTGCTGCGGCTCTCTTTCGTGTTACATGGCGATATTTCTTAAAAATGACGCTGCAACCTAATTAGTTACCCTTTAGACGTGTGTGCGTGTGTGTGTGTGTGTGTGTGTGTGCTCCCAGTTATCATCTAATTGCAAATTTTACGCATATGCAATACCTCTGCTTTGTTGCTGGCCCGCTCTGCCGCTCTCTCGCGCGCTCTCTCTCTCTCTCTCTCTCTCTCTCTCTCTCTCTTTGTACGTTCGCAGTTAGCTTCGCTCTCACAGCTGTTGTTGTTGTTGTTGTTGTTGTCTGTCAAGCAGCCCATTAATGCCAAATGCGTGTCTGTCAAGTTATAAACTGAGACTCTCTGGGCGTCTCGCTTGTTTTCGGAGCGTGTAAAGTGGAGGTGCAAAAATAAAAACAAAACAAAAAAGCATTAAAAAAAAATACACTCGAGAAACGAAAAGCAAAAAAAAAAAAGTGCAGTGAAGTGCATTGGCTCAGTTAACGTCGCGACTCGCGACTCGCGACTCACGTTGCATTAATTAACATTTAAACAATAATTAAATTATTCATACAAATGTGGCAAATGTAAGCGCGAAGGCGGGGCCGGACGCCAAAGGAGGCACCTTCATTGCAACTCGAACTCCCATCGCTGATGCGGCCGCCGATTGCGTCTGGCAGCAACAGCCTATTAGTATGGCTTATTGCCTTGGCTACCGATCCGACCCGACCCGAGCCTGCCTTCCGTTCCGCCACGCCCCTCCTTGCTGTCGCTTTAAGCTCCTGCGTCAGCTACGATCTTATCGGCAGCAGGGCGCGCACGCGCACCTCGCGGCTCGCACAGTAGCAACAGACGACGACGCAGACGCAGACGCACCTACACAGACATGCATGTACATATGTATATGCACACACACACACACACACACACACATGCACACGCCCAACGCCGCATCTCTTTTGTGATGCCCAACTCTAATAACACTGCTCAGCTCGGCTAAGGTTCAAATTTCTCTAATTTAAATTGGAGAGAAAAAAGAAAAATTGGGAATATCTTTGGCACGCCGAACATTTAATACGCTTGCAGACATTCGAAGATATGAGAAGAGATAAGCTTGAACCTTACTTTGTGGTAGGGGCGATACTCAGTTCTGCCTGTTACACAATTTATATTCATTTCTATTCATATAGAAATCTATCAATAACCCAAAGATGCGCTATTATTTAATTGCCAGTAAAAGTGTGATATATAGGGAGGGCAGAGTGAATAAATGAGCAAAGATAAAATTGATGAGAGAGTCAATTTATTATGTAAAGCTGTGAGTCTTGCGTGAATTCATGAGAATCGCAAAGAGAGGCGATTTCTTAAAATACATTTCTGTCGACTTTCAATGTAGTTGAAAGTAAACTTGGTCTATGCTTAGTCGTAGAGCACATACATACACACATACAAACATACTTACAGACACACACACACACATACATGCATGTGTACATACATGCACAGAGGTGTTAGCTCGTTAACCACAATTTGTGTGGACCGCATATAGATAAGAATGGTATTTAGTAAAGCCATAAATTTCTCAATTTCAAATTTTTACCGATAATTGCACATGGACAGTGTTCGTAAGCATTTAACTGTGCTGTTGTGTGCTTTACAAGTTTTATAAGCTCGCTCTTTTGTATTTCTTGACTGATCTCCGTTTCATGCTCACGGCTTGCTTTTGAATCGAATATTTTGTTGTCCAGTGTTCAATTGCCACACATTGCGCTGCGGCCTTTTAATGCTAACAACTTGCTTAGGCAGCAGCACGTCGGATGCTCTCTCGCGCTCTCTCTCTCTCTCTCTCTCTCTCTGCTCCTGTTGCTGCCCCGCAAGCAGCTGCTCGCCCTCCCTCCCTTTGCCCGCGCTGTAATCCTTTAATTTATGACACTCAACGAGGAGCTAGAACTTGGGCCAGCCAGGTGAGGGCTGGAAGCTGACTGCATGACAACAATTTGCAAATATTTTATTAATAAATGACATTGCCCAACTGAGTGGAGGAGAGAAAGGAAGAGAGGGCGGAAGGGGAGGCGTCGCAACTAGAGGCCAGTTTTGTGCCTGTAGCCAAAAACTTGTTGACCAGAGAGCGAACAAGCCGAGTCGCCTTCTCCTTGTGGCATTATGCAGCGAAGCATGCAACGACTTTGCAGCTAAATTAAATTAAAACAACTAAGAGTCCTCCAATTGAGCATGCTCGACTGGCAGTTACCCTGTAAGCCCTGCGTGTGACCTGAGCACAGGCACGAGTTTGAGGAAAATGTCAAAAAGTCTTAAGCTCGTTGCCAAAATTGTGACTCTGCTTGTGAGAGAAGGAAAGAAAGACCTATCCAAAATGTGAGAGATTCCAAATATCTCTGTTAAACGAGGGTTTGCTGTATATCGATTCCAGGCAGCAGATAATCTAAAGATATCTACTTATTGAAGGATTGAGTTATTCGAGAGAATCTAAAATTAATATATTAATCAATAATATTAATATATCTTTGCATTTCCTTTGTCTATATAAGGCCGATGTACGCTTGACTGAGTGATAAAAAAAAGGCAAATTTTTCCAAATGTTTCCATTCAATTTATAGAAAAAAGTGAAATGTTCTTGCGTGCGTTTCGGGAAGGAAAAGTTCCTCTGTATATTGCTCGATGAGCTACGCGCTTAACTAGCGTCGATCTCTACTGCGCTAAGATACCCTTCTATTTACAGGGTATAGTAAGGTG